TACTTTAAGTTCAGTATATGTTTTAGAGCATATCTGTTGTCAAGACTGTCATGTTTGGAAAGCCAAAACGATCAAATGCCTGGTCTCTGTTTAAAACTTCATTTATATATGTAGCAATATCAGTTCATTTATTTCCAAGATGTCACAAAATATTATGGAATGCCGGTAGGGACATGCCACTTTGCTTATTTGCCAACTACTTAATTGCTTATTTGCTAATTGCTGATTTGCCAATTTGCTTATTTGCTGATTTGCCATTTTGCTTATTTGCTAATTGCTTATTTGCTTATATACATAAATTTTTTATGCTATTGTCAGGCGACACGTCCGACTCGCGAAGTTCTTGTTATCCCCCGCCGATGGAATCGGGAGGGGGATATAGTTTTGGCGTTGTCCGTCCGTCCATCCATCCGTCCGTCCGAATTTCGTTTCCGGAGTAGTTCTCTGCAACTACTGGCTGGAATTCAACGAAACTTTATGGGAATCATCAATATCAAGAGGAGATGCGCATATCGTCGGCTTGTTCCGGTCCGACCCTTTAACTCAGAGTTATGGCCCTTGATTAGTTATGTAGTATGCATATAGAGTAAAAATCGTTTCCGGAGTAGTTCTCTGCAACTACTGGCTGGAATTCAACGAAACTTTATGGGAATCATCAATATCAAGAGGAGATGCGCATATCGTCAGCTAGTTCCGGTCCGACCCTTTAACTCAGAGTTATGGCCCTTGATTAGTTATGTAGTATGCATATGGAGTAAAAATCGTTTCCGGAGTAGTTCTCTGCAACTACTGGCTGGAATTCAATGAAACTTTATGGGAATCATCAATATCAAGAGGAGATGCACATATCGGTGGCTTGTTCCGGTCAGACACTTTAACTCAGAGTTATGGCCCTTGATTAGTTATCTAGTATGCATATAGAGTAAAATTGTTTCCGCACTACTTCTCTTCAACTACTGGCTGGAATTCAACGAAACTTTATGGGAACCTTCAATACCAAGAGGAGATGCGCATATCGTCAGCTTGTTCGGGTCAGACACTTTAACTCAGAGTAATGGCCCTTGATTAGTTATGCAGTATGCATATGGAGTAAAAATCGTTTCCGCGCTACTTCTCTGCAACTACTGGCTGGAATTCAACGAAACTTTATGGGAACCTTCAATACCAAGAGGAGATGCGCATATCGTCGGCTTGTTCCGGTCAGACACTTTAACTCAGAGTTATGGCCCTAGATTAGTTATGCATTATGCATATGGAGTAAAAATCGTTTCCGGAGTAGTTCTCTGCAACTACTGGCTGGAATTCAACAAAACTTTAGGGGAATCATCAATATCAAGAGGAGATGCGCATATCGTTGGCTTGTTCCGGTTTGACCCTTTAACTCAGAGTTATGGCCCTTGATTAGTTATGTAGTATGCATATAGAGTAAAAATCGTTTCCGCACTACTTCTCTGCAACTACTGGCTGGAATTCAACGAAACTTTATGGGAACCTTCAATACCAAGAGGAGATGCGCATATCGTCGGCTTGTTCTGGTCAGACACTCCAACTCAGAGTTATGGCCCTTGATTAGTTATGCAGTATCCATATAGAAAAATATTTGTTTCCTCGCTACTTCTCTGCTACTACTGGCTGGAATTCAATGAAACTTTATGGGATACTAAGAGGAGATGTGCATATAGTCGCCTTGTTCCAGTCAGATACTTATAACTCAGATTTATGGCCCTTGATTAGTTATATAGTATGCATACATCTCATTGGCATTTCCAGATTTTACTATTTAACACAAAGTTATGGCTCTGTTATTGCCCTGAATATTTATCAAGTTTAAAGAATATTACTGTTTATGCCATGATTAATATATAAATAAAGCCTTATGTCTTCAGTTGTTGTGTTAATAATACTCGGCGGGGGATATAAATTCAACGAATTTGCTTGTTTGATATAAAATAACAAGTCTTTGTAGACTTTATTTCAAGCTCATGAACCTATATCATGTTATTATGCTTATAAAGTTTTGTTAATTATAACTAAATCTTGTGACAATTATGATCAATCCATCGATCATTACCTAGAATATAGGTAGAAAGACAGATGGATACATTTTAATCAATTTCAAAAAAATAAATTCAGTTTCAGAAAGTAGTTGTTTTTTTAATTATCTTGAGTTTCAGTTTTAGCTCCACTATTCAGAGAATAGGGATGCTATTCTACCCACCAATGCATTGGTTTTCTTGGTAACTTGTTTTTCTGTCATATCTCTGTTACTTTTGCTGATTCATGCATCTTACTGCAACTTTGCATAAACTTTGCGTTACAAGCATGCATACAAAGTACATGAAGAAGTTGTGCCCGTTATATACTGAATGTCAAAGTCACCAATGTATTGTACTGAGAAGCCTTTATTTTTCTGTCATATCTCTGTTACTATTGCTTATATCTAACTGTAACTTCACATAAGCATTAAATAGGCAGCATGCATACACAATATTCAAAGAGGATTTGTCCATTAAACCCTAGGTCATGATCATGGTCATGGTCACCTGATAGCATGTAAAATGTACAACATGAAGAAATGGAAAAGTGTGACCAAATTTCAAAAACTTTGAACCAAAGCAAAATGTTGATGCACACACAGACATAAGTGATCTCAAAATCTTACAGAGCTAAAAACGATGCCTATTGCTTTAGTGCAAAGACAAACACCCTTTTAAGCATGCGCCAAATGTATCATTCTTGATACTATATGTTCGTACCACTAAAATGAGGCCCTCTGTGACAAATCTGCTGAGAATAACGACATTTTATATGTCATAAAATAAGAAATAGTTTTGTTTTCAAGTTCTTTTATTTTCAATCTTTACCCAATAATTTTCACTTATATATGACTAATCAAGTGTTTATTATGCCATCAATCTCTGACTTAAGCTGCACAAACAGATCTATAGCTGCAACACATTATAAGGCATTCTCAAGCACAGATGCTGGCGGGTCAGATCCTGCCCCTAACGTGATACGCGTCTGTAAACACTATATCAAAACTATTTTAATATTTATTTAAATACGAATTGGACATTTGTTACAACGATAAAACCATTAAGTACTTTATTGAGACTTGGTGGTATATGGTATTTTTTCATACCGGTATATGTAAAAATTGCTTGAAAACCAGTTTTAACGATGTCCAATTCGTGTTTAAATATTAATATTATTTTAAATAGAGTGTTTACAGGGGCACGTATCATGTTGGGGTATGGGATCTGACCCCCAAGCGTCTGTGTTCTAAAGGACATGTCAGCCATCAGTTGTAGACATATATCTGCGTAGGCATCACTGCAACTAAATTCATTGACCAACAGTATTCTTGGGAAAACACTGAATTTACAAGAATACTGTTGGTCAAAGTTAACAGATCTGAATCAACTGGTTGTCTGTAGTCAGATTTTCCATATACTTCCGGCACAGTGTAAACCATTTCTATTGCAAAAAAGTAAATTAGCAATTGGCAAAAAAGCAAATACGTAAACCAGCGGTTAACAAATAAGCAAATTAGCAATTCAGCAATTGGCAAATAAGCAAATTTGTCGTTAAGACTATCAGCCATTAGCAAATAAGCAAATCGGCAATTATCAAATAAGCAATTCAGCAATTGGCAAATAAGCAAATTGGCATGTCCCTACCGACATTCCATATAAAATATACATTTCAAAGTAACAATCGAATATATTTTCGTCCGTAACAAAAAACGGAAAGTGTTCCTGGTATCACGGTGATAGGGCGTTTAACGCAACGTCACTATATTGTACTTCTGACTGAGACACCGTATGTTTCTGTCATACAAAATGAATGTCAAGCCTGCATACGACAAAAAAAAAAATGATAATTTGCCCAAAACAAGGTATTTATAGTAGATGAATTATGTTGAAGTGTATGCTTTCCTACTGTATTCGATAGAACGTTTCGGCTGTCAATGTTGTATTTAATTTAAATCTTTACCTATTTACGACACTTTTTTTTCCAAAGATTCTTTGTATTTAATTTTAAAATAAATGAACATAACTCGTTCGTTGAGTGTTTTTCATCTTGTTTCTTCCTTTTTTATTCAATTTTGATACCTTTTTTAAACTCCGAAATCTTAGTCGCCACGTCCTTAAATTACTGGGGTCATTTGTAATTTAAAATTAATTTATTTTTATTTGTTGTATTTCAATGTTTGCTCATTTCAAAATTAGAATATTTCTCCTCGATAAATATCTTTGAATGATTACCCAGTGAAATATCCTTTAACTGAAGGTAATTCTTTATCAAGTTTTATCAGCAATTCCTTTGCTTTTTCAACTGCATCAGTGCTAGAATTTGCTAAAACTACATTATCTAAGCCAGCAGTCCATGTGGTGTGATAGTTAGATATTTTACGCTGTTTGTTATCAATATATACGTGGGGGATATTGAGAAGTGTTGATAGAATATGACCGTGAAGACGATCAGTGATTACTACTCGACCTCTCTGTAAAAACATCATTCCATTGGTTGTCTTAAGAAACGAGTCTTCCATTGGCGAGTCCCCACGATGGGTTTTCCATATTAACCAATCAGAAACGTGCATACGATAACCTTCCGGAGCTGCCGGTGTATTGTAGTGTGGAGACTCTTTATCGGTGCGCTTTAACCAAAGTATATCGAACGTTGGATGCATGAAGCGAGGAACGAAACCAATCTGGTAGGCAATATCTGGTGATAATAGGGAACGTACGTTAGGGAAGAGCTTCTTGCCAAGCTCGAAAGATACCTTATCTCGCCATAGAAACGTAAGCTTCGGATGAGATGCATATATTTTCTGGCAGAACTTAATGTGAGAATCTGGTCCCATTGTCAAAATACTTTGTGGAAACATGACAATGTTGAACGGCATGAATCGTTTTATTTGTTTACTACGAGAAAAATCTGACGAAGGCCAACCAATGACATTTCCGCCACCATGAAAAAGAATGACAAGATCTTTACTTGTATAATTTTTACTGATGTTATGAGCTCTGTATATTTGATTGTCTGTGCAAAATACTTTACATGCAAACACAATTTCGATTTTGAGTTTCCTCAAAAGCAATGTTTCTCCAACAGTAATCGCCGAGTCACCTTTGTTTTCCGAGGTAGAATAATCGAATAGCATTGCATATTTATACCCGCCCAACAGGGACTTGAAAATATTCATGTGAATTCTCTGAGCTTCGTCAATTACATCTGACCGTTTTGTATGTAATGGAGAAAGTTTATTAGTTTCTTCTGGATTGTGTACTAGATCTAATGATAGGAAGTCTATGATGTTGAATGTCGCTTGCTTTGACAGAGATAAATTATTCCACAACAATTTATAGCTATCATTGTTTACATCAGTATATTTCATTTTATGTTTTGGTAGCCCTAACATCATCTTCGGTATCTCGAAGACTTGATATACTGCCAGAATAGCCAAAGTGAAAGTAACCGAAGTAAAGAAATGTCTCCTGTACCCCATCACAGCTGAAATATAAAAACAAAGTTCAGTTTGATTCTAGATGATACTTTTTATATACAGGTACTTTCGTTTTTCTGAGACTTTTTCGAATAAATTGATACAACAATTGAACAACAACAACAACCATAATTGATGTAAGAATATTTTACTTAGACTATATAAAATGAACTAGTCATTTTCTACATTTGATAATGAAAATATTATATATAATGTGTAACATCTCAAATAATGAAGTATATGTCATGGTTCACAACAAAATAGTTTACGCCTTAATATATTAATATATATATTTATATATATAAAGGACTAAAGAAAGAAGGAATAACAAACCCATTAAGAACTATCATTAGTATCATAATGGTGTTACAGATTCTTCAACTCACTTTTCAATATCTTACTTGACCCTTCGTTGATTTGGTTACTATTTAACTCTCGTAGTATAGAAAACGCATAAATTGCAAGACCTTTTACACAAATGAAAAGTTCAATGAAATTTACGATTGACGATGTTTTTGAGCCTGTTACGTATAATAAACCAAGAACAGCAAGTCTTTTCAAAATGTTTCCAAATGCATGACCAACAACGGAGAAATGGTGAAGTACAACTACCGTAGATATGTAGCTATAAATAGCATGAAATAAAGAAGATCCTATGAGAAGAAAGTATAATTTTGCGGTTCCTGGGGGTGCTGTCCCGATATCAAAAAGAACCAATGCTCCTACGGCAAAAACAACAAATAGTCCATATCCAATAATGGTTTTGTTGATTATGAACTTAGAATGTGATATGTGATTCTTTTTCATGTACACGTTTCTCAGGGATAAACATATATTAGAAATAAACGCTAGAACCGTGGCTTAGGAAACATTTAACTTCAATGTGTTATTTTCTTGTGCAAATAATATTGCACCAAAAGCAACAGTTGGAATACTGATCCATTGTAGATATGGCAGTCTCACTTTCAGAATTATTTTTTGTAATAAAGCACTGGTGACAGGTTCCATGAGTTTAATAGAAAATGTAGAAGCCGCATATGTAACAGCCATGCTCCAGTTTGTCGCTAAAGTTGCGCATGCATGAGCAGTGAAAATGACAAGCTTGTGAACCATATCTCCTTTATTTGTGTCACCCGTAAACGATGCTACTTGCATGTAGAAGAACATCTGTAGTGCACTTAAAACAATCACACTGTATTCTCTTTCATGAATAAACGATGTCGATTCTATGAGAAATAGTTTCGCACAGAAATGGCATGCAAACGATGTTAACGTTCAGAAAATGAAAACGAACATCATCATTTGGCTAAAACCTCCCAAGCTATGAAAAGAAGAATACAAAATCAAGGTTAGATTAAATGGTAACAGTTAATGTAAGTATAACTTGAAGTAAATATTTTCATATTTATTTCAAGATATAGTGTAAGTAAAAATATAATTTATATGTGTAAAATGCATAGTGCATACCTCTTTTCAAATTGTTACTTTTGTCGCATTTTTAGATTTATAAGTTAGTATAATATTTGGCAGAATTGACTTAGATATTTGAATATGCAATTTCAAGATCATCTGATTAGAATAAAAGGAAATAAAAAGTAAACACCAAACACTTACTATAATCTTGTATGGCGAAATAGACGAACTATATTGCAATTTTATATCATGGTTCAATTAAACTACATTTATAATTTTCGTTCGCTTGTTTTGTTTTAATCGCAATTCAACATATATTCGGTTATATATGCTTTATAAAATTCGCTTAGGCCTATATTATATTTCTTGTTATCAAGTTTTCTGATATTTGTGGAGATACACTATTATCATACACATTTTGTCTTTGATATCCATGGTTTAACGTTTGATCTTAACTATTTATGCGGTTGAAACAAGATTGTATCAACATAATTAAGATAATTGTGATCCAAAGTCAAAAATATCTTAATTATATTAATACATAAAAGAACAAATTCTGTTAACTTTTAATCGTTGTAAAAGAAAAACCTATCTGAATTCGAATCACATCAGGTGATACCGGTATTTTAAAAATATCTTAAATAATTGTAAATTATATGCATTTTAATTGTTTATTCTGATTCAAATTAGAAACAGCGTTCCTTATAGAACTTGCAAATTCGCCACTTATTTTCGTCTTATGAAAAGCGGCGTATGGTCACCAAATAAAGAAATGTTAGATTTTGTTTTTAGTTTCATAAAATACTAATATAATAGCAGTGATTGAGCCAGAAATAATAGTTAAGAAGTTCTGCTCATTCGAACAAATCTCCCCGAAGGAAATGGTTCTTCCGGTGAGAACTTAAAAGTTAACATATAAATTAAATATTGCATGATATAAATGCGCCTTCGATCAGTACTTTAAGGACATTGTTTTTTTCTATTGGATAGCTTTTATTACGGTATTTATGGAATAAAATCTATCTAGAGCGCTCTGTTGATTTAATGCAATGAAGTATGACTTAATCAAACCGAATCCGCAATTTTCATTTAATTTTGTTGTGATTAATGCTTCCGATGGATCACTTAGTGTCCAAAATTATAAAAATACTTGCCTACTTATTTCTTGAAATACATTGTATACTCAGTAAAAATATTTTACGCTGTTTTTAAGATCTAACGGGATAGAATTTAAGGTATACAGGAATTCCTCTCTGAAGAATTTTCATTTGGAGTGAGTATACAAAGTTTGCATGAGGTGTTGGAAAAAGCCCTACTGGAAGTTAAATTTTTGTTCACTTTTACTTTTCCTGTCTGGTCATATTATTTTTTTTCTTTAGAAAAATCAAGGTTGAAGATGAATTTTTATGTATTTTTTAGCATAAAATGAGTGAAATATGGTAGTTTTACAACTCAAAATGTCATCTCCAAATCTCCAATCAATCTCCAAATCTGGATGATACCTCCTCCTCAAATGTTTAAAATTGTATCTCGATAAAAATTATACGAAGCTATAAGGTTATCCCATTGACAGATGTCAAAAGGACCGATTTCCTCCACGCACCCTCTTTCCTTTTTTAATTAAATTTGATATAGTGTTAAGATATAAAGTTAAAAAAACTTTTGAACAGAAACCTTGTCAAACATTATCATTTTCATCAGCGTTTTTCATTGCAAAGCGATGCGTCAGATTTTGCTGGTAAGTAAAAACAATGTAACAATAAATTTTGATACCATACCTGTCTTTATGGATACAAATAAAATCTCTACACAACTTGCAACACATAAGTTTTAAGGATAAATGGCCTCATGTGTGATAGAACAAACTATTATGTAACAAAGTAATATGTAAATGATAGAAACTTTAACGGCTGTCAACAGCTTTCAATCTAGTTATCAAAAGTAGTTAAGTATACGAGGTTTCTGGATCAATAACAAGAAAGTTGCGGCGTGGCCGAGTGGTAAACGTGTCGGACTAGTAATCTTCGGATTGCTGAACGCATTAGTTCATACCCCGTCAGGGGCAAGCATTTGGTTCCTTGAGCAAGAAACTTTAAATTCATTGCTTAGTGCTGGTTTGTTCCAGGAACGGATTTGAGAATGTTAGGTACCAACACAATCGAACTAAAATAAGTTTGTATAATAAACTAAAAGTAAGAAAATTTCAAGAACATAATTTGCAAAGACAATTCAAAGAAATTATTCTTAACTTCCTAAGCTTAAGAAATAACAATATCATTATTTTCAAAAAATCAATACTTTCCAACTCTACAAAAGAACATTTTTTTCTGAAAGCCTGTATTTAAGCATGTGAAATCAATGTAATTTAATTAATAATAAATTTATGATTTCAACAATCAACAATCAATGGGCCCTCGACCCCCAAGCTTCATTGGTTAAGCTTATTTATGACATACAACATGTTGATTTTAACAGTGTTTAAACCAATTGCCATATTTTTTGCACAAAGTTTCTTGCCTAACCTATTGAAAAAGTGTACACAGTTATATATCAAAAGACTTAAACATATACGACGAAATTACAAATTACTGATCACAATACTGAATTTAATTTCATAACTTATTAAATATAAACAATGAATTTTCAGCGTTTGAACAACGTGATGTTCCAAAAGAAATCGTTATCGGGTCCAATCTTATCAATTTAGTTTCGTTTCCATTTCCAGAGTGCAAAACATTCGTTTTTAATGCATATCTCGCCCCCTTAGCCTCGTTTTTTATTTTCTTGAAGACCAAAACTATCTATTTAAAATTCATATCGTACTCCATATAGCCTCAATTCAAATTTCATGGTAAAAATATATATTAATTTCATGTCCAAAAGAATTCACTATTGAACTAAACAGTGAATAATAACCTTATTTTAATGGACGAATACGCTGCTGTTTAACCTATATTGGACCAGGCGCCTATGAAAGCATTTAGAGCTGTGTACAAGACCAAAAGTATCAATATTGTATTTAAAAATATGTCAATAAATTTTTTTTTCACACCACCATGTTTTGACATTATTTTGATTTTTAAATATTTAAACTCTGAAAATAAAAACTAGACTAAATGGAGTATAACTGTGATTTGATAATTTTGGGTCTTGGAAAATAAAAAAAGCTCAAATATATACTGCAAACGGTAAAGTTCATTGGTCGCAAATTATTAATTCTAACATGTGAACGGGTAAAATGTTTTGATTTTGATTAAGCCGACCATGTTGTATGTAACAATATTCGCTGATAATTCTACCTGAGTTTATTTCATTTCGCGATTTCAAAAGCAGATTATATTTATTTATCTTATATGATACATGTTATGTAAACTACACATATACCTTGACATCCATATGTTGCCAGTTTATATAGATTATGTCTGATGTTCTCTGCTCATCTTTTTATTGTTTTTTTTTATTGTTGTCAATGTTATACACTCAGAATGCTTGGATTTAAAATTCTT